CCCTACTTCGTAGTATCTATGCACAATGGTAGCACCATCCAATTGAAGCTGCAAATTTTTAAGATAATTACTGGCTTTACAGCTTGCCATTTAACATTTCCCTTTTGTACAAGTGTTTTTGGTTTGTACACATGTAATCCTTGATGTCTGACTGGCTCAACCAGGAATTCCGTCTCCTTCCACAGGCCTCCTCATGATATAGCCTGTACTTCTGCCTTGCAGCTGCAGATTTATTCTGTTCCTGTGTACCTCTTGTCAGGTCTGAAATGCTTTCTGTATCAATTCTTTGATTGTTTTCTGTTTTCTGTGTCATTTTCTGTTTTCTGTGTTGAGTGCTGCCACAGATTATGGGATTTGATGTCATCAGCCCTTGATGGTATTTGTTTCTCTTAAAGTACTCTGGGTCAGTGGCATTTTTTTTCTGATTTTTCTTGAAGCTCTAAATGCTAATTTTTATCAGTTGACCCCATTTAGAAATAATGCTTGTCACCTCAACTCACTATATTATAGCAGGGGCCCAGAACTGCCATCATGTTGTGTCCAGATTCCTTCAAAGCCGAAGTGATTCAGTATGGATTAGGATGTCTGCCTTTCTGGTCTAATTAGAAGGGCCTTGTTAAGTAAACAACAGAAGGTTTATTCCATTACTGCAGCTCTTTATTGGAACTACATTTCTACAGAAACTGTTAATAGTACACTAGCCCCAGATCTATTTCCTACATGCTCCTTATTTTGTCCAGCCAGGTCCCTGTGACATTAATAATAACCATTTTACATACATATGCAGCATGGACATTGTGATAGAGATCAAAAGGAAAATTAGTAAGTAGAAGCTAACATACCAGGCATTAGTGAGGAATGAAAAACCATAATAGTGATAGATTTGGCTTTAGTAATGGAGGAGGTAGCTCAGTAGTAATAGAGAAGAGAACCCCATAAATCCAAACTCTATTTGCTGATAAGCAGGTGAAATGCATCTTAATTTTCATGTACAGATCTTGGGATGAAGTATAATCCCGTTGGGTCTTTGTTTTACATCCACTTCAGTCCAGGTGATAAGCTATTTCTGTCATCCAGCCCTTCAATAAGACACACATAATGGAACAAAACAAGATAGAAATATTGGTCTATTGGAACACATCATAGTCTCTATGCTATGAATGCTATTCTGCCTCCAAAATTGGATCTCCTGTCCACTCACATATTTTGCCATTTTGGTGAGGGAATTACTGCACAGGGAACATCTGCAAAAAGAATACAGAGAAACCAGGGGATCAGATTCTTAAAAATAAGGGGGTAAATTTGTGTAGTGTTCTTTCCCTTGCCTACTGCAATTTCAGTGTTTACAATATTTGTCTGGATTTTCAGAGCTTTAGAACTTCATCCTGAGACCAGTTGTTCCTGCAGTCCTCCAATTTGTGCACTTATCTCCTATTCCCTGTGTATTTTAAGATTTTTTTTGCTTTGGCAAGGAAGTTGAATAAGCTTTGGATTGACTCTTTTTACCTGTGATTTCTAACCCGTAGTAAACTGTAATATAGAGAACTGTAGGTTTTCCAAGGTTTTTTTCTACATGCCACCTTGGTCTAGGATGAGGAGGAGAATAGGAACAAATGAGAGTGAGGCAGGCTTAATAAGGGGTAAAGTCAACCTGCTTTACAAAGTCACTAGGCCTCGGGAACTTAATTAAAAGAATGAGAGAAGGTATATCTTTCCAGACTTTGGTTTATGAAACCCTAGATGAATTGTTCTAGTTTCACATGATGACCTAGAGCCCAGATGCACGATGCAAGCAGTTGTCAAAGTCAACACAACTGTTAACTTTTACGCCACTGGCTCTGTCCAGTCTACAAGCAAAAACCTCAGCAACCATGCATTGAACAGGTCGCTGATACCATATTCTGTAAACCTGAAGAATTCATCAATTTTGGGTTGGGTTCTCAGCAATAGCATATTGGGTCTCGGAATTCTATGCTTCAGCGTGACATGGGCTGGTGAAGCTCAGAGCGGCAGTCCAGTGGCACAGCATAAGCTGGTGAAGTCTGGAGTGGGACTCTGGCAGCTGAGTGGTGTGGGCTGGTGAAGCCTAGATTGGGACTGTAACGGCAGTGAAGGAAAAGTTGGACTCCCTTTAAGCCATCTTTCTTTAACTTGGAATAAGTTTAAAAATAATGAGAATGGCACTAATGCATAGCAACCATGTATAGTTTTCACTGTATTTTGTATTGAATACAAGTGACAATAAATGATTCAATAGTTTGTGCAAAGTTCAAAGGGTATTGGATGGTATCCACATTATGCTATTGGGTTCTAATGTGAAAACATTAGGCTAGTTTTTATAAAGGAAGTAACAGGCTTGAGTTGGGTAACTTCCCAACTTGACAGACCTTTTTTTTTTAAATAGGCTCCCACCCACAATACTTCTGTTCTGGGGAGGTGTGGGCAGGAATAAACTGGGTCCAACACCTCCAAAGTCAGGCCTGAGGCAGCAATGGAAGTGGGAAAATGGCCAGATTGGCAGGTTCGCTTCCATTTACTGGGGCATTGCCGAGATTTAATGATGAATTTCAGCCTCTCACACTCTTGGCTTTGTAGTTTGCAGATTGTGGAAGGCTTTAGAGAATCAAGAAGATGAGTTACTCTCCATAGAATTCCCAGCCTCCCACCTGCTTTTGAAGCCATGGTGTGGCTGGACCAGTGAGGTTAAGAGAAGCCTGTGAAAGAATTCCAAACACAGTTTGAGATGGAAGAGATAGAAAACCATTGAAACATTCAACTTCAGTGAACTGGGGTTCCCTTTGAGCCGAAGAGCAGGAAGCACTGTTAGTTTTCTTACTTTGCCTGCATTCTTGGGTCATTAACTTGTTTTGTCATTGAGTCAGCCGTGTGAATTCCAATGGGGATATTGGCACCTGGCACTAACAGGTGGATAACCTTGTAGGCTTTACAGCCAAAAACATTTCTCCTAAATATGTCGTTTAGCAGGAATATTAAAGTTTCTAGTCCACTCCAAACTTAAGTCCCACTATAGCTACTGTATCTTATCTCTCCATAGTTGCAAATGCATCTACTTCTCATATTTTGGAGTATTGTCCCTTGTGTAATTCTGATTTTTAATTTCCTTTTTGATATTCTTTGCTCTTTCTACAACAGCTTCCAAATAGATTTTTTTTTTCCTGTTAGTATCTAAATCTTAGGCTTCTATTGCAAATAATATGTCTTGAGTCTCAAACTCAAACTTTCCAGCACTCTGGTTAATTAAATTTTAAGGGATAGGGATGCTGAAAGCATTGATTGTTGTTTTCTATGTTTATTGCATAAAGCTATGCGTGTTCACTGCAAATCAATGCTCCATAAGTAGGAATATCAGCTAATTTTCAACATCGCATCCTGAGTGTTTACCTGGTGAAGCAAGATTGTACCATTATTTTAGAAGCTGCCTGATTAACATCTCATTATTCTCAGTGGGAAGTATACTAGACAGTGCTGCAATGTGTGAGGAATCCATTCTGCTAGATTCTTGTCTGTTTGACAAAGTTGAAAAGAGTCCCCATTGATCTTAACTGCAATCATTGAGAAAATAATGACAACCATACATTCAAAGAAACAAATGACAAACAAAATACCTGATTTAACAATAGATTTAAAGCTATTTCCTAGGGTAGAATTATTTTTAGAATTTTAATTTCTTGTGCCATTTCATTACTAAATTCAAATTGCCCTGTAAAGAAAACCGTATAGTTGGGTATGTCAGTGAATGTCACTATTTAACCTAACTGGATTAAATGATACAAGCAAAACAAAAGAATTTGACAGTTTGTAACAGGTCCTAAGACTGTGATATTAAGACAAATGCGGCTTCTATTGTGCTTAAAATATCTACTATTGAGATCTTTGGAAACATCTAGTTATAACTGTAATTAGCGGTTACAAGACTACCTCTTGAATTGTCATAGGTATAAATTTATTTCTTTCACTATATGAATTTTCCAATACTTGTACCATTGCTCATTCAGTCGCCTGCTTGCTTACTTTTCCTGTCTCTTTCACTCATGCATGACAGCACGACGATCTTGGCCTAAACCACCGCCCGCACCTCCACCCATAAAATCGTCGCAAAACATTCTTAGTCAGAGAATCAGAGGCATGCCTAAACAAATACCAAGTACTGTTACAGCTTTTTATTTTGTTTGATTTTAGTTTAGTGATTTGTTGCATTTAAACAATCTTTTGTTTTCCTTGCCTTGGTTATACTAAGTTTGTTACAGAAATATATGGTCTGCTGAAAATAAATTTTAAAATTGCTGTTTATTATGATTTTTTAAATTTCAACATAGATCCTAGAAAGTAACACTCTTGCCTTCTTTGAGCATTTGGTGTATACAACATTCATAAACATAAATGTCAGCACAAACTAACAGTGTTGCTGCATAACATATTGCATGATGACTTTAAGTTTCTTGAGTAAACAGTGTTGTACAATAATATCTTTCGGGCAGCTGACAGTGTTCCAATTAGATCTTTCCTTTGGTGTTCTCAGTCTTTGTTTTAAATGGCACCTTTTTAGCCAAGGTTAATTTGAAACTGTTGCCAATTTTTTGTGAAGCTCACCATTCAAATTCCCCAAAAATATCACTGGATCCCAAAAACAAACCTTAAGAATTTACAGGAATGTGAGACTTTACAGAAATTGGATTACTTCGTCCACACTGATGTCCTAAATTATATCTACGTTTTTGTAGATCTATTGGACATTACAAAATCAGAACATGAACTTGTATCTGGTTAGAATCCTAGCTGGAACATTGTACTGGAATAAATGATATAGTATATATTATCTTTTTTTAATATAACAGTTTTGTTAAGTATGTATTAGGTTAACTTCTTGAATGATAATTGTATAAAAACTTAGAAATTGCTTCTAAAGTGAAGGGGAGCTTATCTTAAGAAAAAAATGTTGTTTATATTGTGTTACTCATTTTTAATACTATCCACCACAGAAAATGTAGGACAGTTAGTTACTCCTGCCAAAAAACTGGAAGACACAATCCGGCTTGCTGAACTGGTTATTGAGGTGCTGCAGCAAAATGAAGAGCACCATGCGGAGGTGAGTGTTGGCTTCGCAAAATTGCAAACTATTTTATATGGTTTAAAGGCATTTTAAAGATGTTGGCTCCTAATGAGAAAGATTAGTTTAATAATCCCTTGATGTTTCTCACCCCAATCATTTTGTATTTCTTTGATCTCCCAGGTAAATAATTTCCTGTAGTTGTTGTGGTAGCAACATGATAAATCAGGCAGGAGCATGTCCTCTTGAGGGACATTTCCCATGACATTATTTGGCTATTATTTTAGAATGTTTTTGCAATCTTTCGGGCGGTACAGTGGCTCAGCGGTTAGCACTTTTGCCTCACAGTGCCAGGGATCCGTGTTCAATTCCAACCTCAGGCGACAGTCTGTATGGAGGTTGCACATTCTCCCCATGTCTCCATGGGTTTCCTATTGGTGCTCTGGTTTCCTTCCACAGTCAAAAAGTGTGCAGGTTAGGTGGATTGGCCATGCTAAATTGCCCATGATGTCCCGGGATATACAGGCTAGGTGGATCAGTTATAGGAAATGCAGGGTTGCAGGGATAGGGTAGGGGGTGGGTCTTCATGGGATGCTCTTAGGAGGCTCGGAGTAGACTTGATGGGCCAAATGGCCTGCTTGCAAACTGTAAAAACTCTGAGTCTCAAAATAGCAAGCATCTTTCTGCTTTACTTATGTTGCTAAAATATAATGACCAGGTGAAATCTTACATCTTGGAAGTCCTTCAGTGAATCAATGGTTTAATAAGTGATTATATAAATTCCATTCCTTCCAACAGATCTTATACAATTTACATATCATCCAACTTGTTTAGTTTCCCCAGGCAGGTGAATCATCATGGTACAAAGACTGAGAAGATAAAACTATATGAAATGTTTTGCAATCTGTTCTTTATGCGGTCTTCTCAGCATGGCTAGCTTTTAACTGCTGGAATAATGGCAAAGAAGCTCCTGTTGAAAAGTACACTACTTAGGTTCTTTAAAAACAACAGGGTTGAGAAGGCTACAACAGATATAGATTCAAATGCTAGCTGCAGTGTCCACATCACTATTGGCCCTCGATCTAACTATTTAAAGCTGTTGCCATGCCACAAACTCTCAGTCCTCTTCCAGTATCCCATTTATAGTTTGAAATTTCTCAGAGTTTTATTGTTTTTAATAATATTTTCTTCAAAGTTGAATAGTGATATAATTTATGCATTGGACACAGTTGGATGCCAATCACCTTGGCAGCCTAATACAGTTGAGGGGCAATTTCGAAATCAGATACCTGCAACATTTATTGGGATTCAATGTTGGAAAATCAGGCCTGCGATGCTGCAGCTGTGTTGCCAGTGCATGTCCCCTTCACGCTTAGCTTCACTATTAAAAGCTCACAACAATCCTTAGATAATTTTCCTATGTGCATGATGAAAGCAATAACATTAAATGCTAAGCAATTTAGTAATGGGTACCGTTCAAAATAGAAAAACATATGTATCAATAGAATGTCCCTCTTTAACCAACTGATTTACATGGTAATGAAATATACTGTCTTTTACTCAAATTGTGTGAGAATACCTGCGAATTCATAGCTTCTGTATGCACCACTTAAATTGATTTCTGTGGAAGTAAGCAGATTTAATTATACCAGACTGAAAATTATAGAAGGTATATTTGCCCTCAAGAATATCTATTTTGTCTGAACATTTTCCATTAATTAAAGTTGGTTTTTATTTCATCTGTGAAACTTGTTTTGATATAATTTTCAAAAGAACTGCAATCAACAAATTGCATAAAATTGCCTCCTTCCTCATTCGGCCTCCAGACATGCTTACTCCAGACATCAAACTTTGGTTATATCATTGTTAACAGTGTCTTTTGATTTTAGATATTTCTGGATGTTATTTCATTTTCCAGTGTGAGTGTATTTTGCTATTTATTTCTACATTTTTGGATTATATTTAATTTTATATGAGAGGGTATACATGTTAACCTAAAGAAAAAGTGTGAAACTGGAGTATTGAATCCAAAGTGCCTTTATTATATGATATAAAGATAATACAGCAGTCCCAACTAATGCTTGATTTGCATATTCAAATTTCCTCCCTACTGTTCAATCAATATTGGATTACTACAGGGAAAAGAGGTATGTGACTAGTCTGAATGAAATGAGTCACCTCCCCATGTGTCTCGTGCATGTCCTAAAGGTATCATCTTTCCTAATGGGAGTTTACCTGGGTCTTCCTTGCTCCTAATCTTTTTTCGAAATAATCTCCTGACAACTGCTCACACAGTGCTTGTAAAATTGTTATTTGCAATGAGTAGCAGATATAGATTGCTTGGGCTGGCTAAACAGCCTCTGCATGTACCTAATGGATGCTATGTCGAGCACTGAAGTTGTATCCTACCACCATTCTTCACCCTTTAGAAACTTCCCTGAACCTATTCTATTTGCCTGCATAGATTTGATGCCTTTGAGTTTTATAATAATGAAATTGCATCAGTTCATGTACAACTGATTATGCTAAATATTGATTCTCAAGTATAGAGACATTATGATGAGTCAGTTGTTTAAAAAGTGTTTTTGCTATTTCTGTAAATGTGATATGGATGATGAGTCATGCATTCCACCATGTTGTTGCAAGATTATGTAGTTTACTGAAAAAAGTGGGATTTGGACAAAGTGATACATGAAGTAAATTAATAAATTGTAAAAATTAGTGGATAAAATTGCCTTGTATACAAGCAGTTTTGTTAGTAGTATTTGAATAGGTTACTTTTATGATTAAAATAGTATGCATAGGATCTTTATGCAAATTCTACTCCCATAGAAAACTAGCCTGCTAACATCCACTGTGTAGAATTACTACTGAACAACGAGCATTCAGTAATGAAAGTTGTCTCTTGGGTGAAGTACTGAAAACTGCCAGTAGATGTAGAACTGAACCTCAGAAACAATTAGTACCGTCAGAGAGCTGTAAAGGCAAGGAAAGAAAAGATGTGGCAAGATTTCTAATAAAAGGGTCAATGGTAATTGTTGCATATATTTTGTCATAATATTCATTTACTTTTGTCTTAGTTTTAATGCAACAGTTACCAAATACAAATTGCATAACTTTATCATAATATTTATTTACTTTTGTCATGTTTTAAATGCAGTTTGTATATTTAAAATTAGTACAGCACCACATGTGATATCAATACATATATGCAGTTGGAAAATTACACTATAGCTGGATGATACGCCCCACCTGTCATACAAATAAGAACTTACTGTAGTGACCCTTGCACTGATATCCTAAAACATCATCTGATTTTTCAGACTAAAGTCAGCCCATGATTGTTTTGATTTTTAATTTAGGTCAGTAACAGACGAACCGAAACAGAGCATACAATGGTGGGTCTTGGACTCGCTGTAGAGAAAGAGGTAACAGAAGGCCTTTTCAATAACCATGCCATGATGTGCTAGGAAACCCAGTGGGATCAAAGGTTGACAAGTGTTGTGGACCTGAAGACCTGCATCCTAGTGTTTTAAAGGAAGTAGCTGCTAAGATAATGGATGCATTGGTATAATCATCCAGAATTCTCAAGGTTCAAGTTGGTTGATTTTTCTTTATCTGGAGACAATGGTATAGGTTCAGTATTCACCTTTGAGAATCTTCTCCTTAAGGTGATGATATTTTTCTTCAATGTGAAACCTTGATAAGAAGGTATTCAGAGACAAAAAGATACAGAGGGCAAAAGGTCTTTTTTTCAAAACAATACTTCGCACCCACAAACAGGGTCGTGTGACCTCTCTGAAAGTTTTGTAAAGTTAGTAAGTCCATTCAAGCAGCTGTTCTTTGAAAATGCAACATTGCAGCTGCAAACAGTGTCCTTTTTTTTGCAAAATGTTCTTCTTAACACATTCAACATATATATACTTTGAATAACTCCTCTTCATAACAGAAATATAATCAAATGAGTAGCAAACAGTGATACAATATTTACAGCAGAAATCCTTCCATGCGATCTTTCATAAAGTGCAATACACTGTAATTTAATGCTAAACTATTATTTTACCAGAATATTTTCGACATACACAGTGTTTCTTGTGTTTATTATCACTGTAGGAGTTCATACTGGCTTAGACTGTCCTCTTAATAATTATAAACCAGCTCTAATATACAAATAACTTGTACAATTTCCTCCAAAGTAGTTTCTAAAATTTCCTGGATTTGAATGGCTACTAACCAAAATCAAAATAATTCCATGGAATCAATTGAACAGCCTTTACATTTCTTATTCAGATTAGTTGCTTCCTTCCATTTTACAGAAAACTGAAGAATTCAAAGACAGGTCCTGTTATAGGCCCAGACCGCACATGCATGTTCCGGATTCACCCAGACAATTTTTACTGGCCTGCCATCTAATTAAGGACTGTGGGCTGACTCATGAGGCTAATTGGCCTATAAGAGGCCTCCAGCAATGACAAAGCAACAACTTCACCATCCAACATAGGAGTTACAGATTCATAATTGAATGAGAGGGAAACTTCAAAATGGGAGTGTCCTCTGAGCAAAAATCAGCATTTTTCATGTTTAAAAATGTCATAAGCATCACCATGGAGGAGGACCCTTCTAATGGAGGGTCAGAGAGAGGCAGTGACCAGCAGCCATTGGTGTTGCGTTGCAGCCTACAAGGGACCCCCAGGTCTAAGACCCTCTTTTCTTGATGTGAGCCTGCCAGTCATTGCCTGGCCATGGTCCAGGCTAATATCACTTACCCATGTTACCAGCTGGAAATCCCTGTCAGCCAGGACATGGTCCTTTAATTAGCTTCAATTTCTCTCATTTGGCTACCCATCTCTTAAAGGCAGAAACCTCTTGGAACCCTGAGATAGTTTGGGATTGCAATCCTGACACTAAGCTAGTAAAACTTGTGTGCTCACCCTCCAGTGATCCCGAGCCTGATCTGCTTTTTTAACATCCAGCCCAGTCCCTAAGCTTTGATACAAGACTCTGGTGCATTAGTCTGATAGGGTGTGGTTAGATTTAAT